TAATTGTAACATTTTAAACAGTAAATGAATATATTTAGAAAAAAAAAATTATTATTGAAAAAATTAATGATGTTATTAATACACAAGGACCTTGATCAAAAATTGAAAAGGAATATAATTTTAATCAATGGAGTAGTAAAAGGAAGGATGAGAACCTAATTTCTCTTTTTCAAAAATTTATAAGGGTATTACAAGAATTAAAAATATTCATTAAAAGTGAAATCCACTTTTTTTTAGAAGTCCCTTTTAAAAGCTATTGTTCGGAGGTCATTGTTTTAAAAAATAAGTAAGATATTTTATTTTTATAATTTTTTTTAAATTTAAAGTGAAACAACTTTTTGTAAAAAAAAAAAAAAAAAAAAAAAAAAAAACCAAACGAAACGAAACGGGCCTTTAGGTTATATGCCTTTGCGGTGTGGTTGGCCACTTGTGAGTTTCAAACTAGACTAATGCCATTTAGGGGACATTTGATACAAGGTGTTAAAAGCCGAGATTGATAAATCAACAATAACTTAATAATGATAGTACAGACCCTTTATGCAAAGGGATTCTCATTTTTTTTCAAAAAATAGGAATTAGGTGTGAGGTCCACTTTACATCGAACTTTAATGATCCGAACGTCTATTTTGTAAGTCTCGATTCATAGATCATCCTTACAAAAATTCAATTCAATCCGAAATTATTTGCCTATTTAATTATCAAGATAAAATTTCATTGTTTTTTATATAACAAAGTATTCGTTAATTTCCTTGAACTCAATTAGATGTCTTAAACATTTCCGATTTGGCTAATATTTTGCAAGGATGATCTATGAGGTGCAACTTGAAAAATAGACGGTTCAGATTGTTAAAGTTTGATGTGATGCGGACCCTTCAACTAATCCCCATTTTTATAAAAAATTGAGATCCCTTTCCTTAAGGTTTCCATGATAGCGATCCAGGAATTTGCATGTCTGATGAAGATTAGAAACAGCTTTTCCATTTTATGTTTTTGGATATTTTGTGTTGATGTTGTGTTTATGGTCAGAATTATGACTATTGACTAACTATCTATTAATGAAGGAAGTTTCGTGTTCAAGTCATTCAACATTCCATGTTTTAATAATAATAATAATAATAATAGTAATAGTTTATTTTAAATCCGTAAGTATAATCAAGATTAATACATATATTATAAGTAGAAGCTCATTTCATCATCTTATGCTATACACTCTTCTCAAATTTCTAACTATAAAACCTAAAATTATATATAACAGTCACTATGATGATGATACATAAGCTCCATGATAGGTTCTTATATAACAATAATTTCTTTCAAGTTAACCAAAAAGAATAATCTTTCATCAAATGATTAAATAATTTTTCTTAGTCAAATTACCAACTGTACCCATTCTATAGTCAGGCCAAATATAAGAGCATTCGTCGGGCGAATATAGTTGACCCAACTTGAGTTTTTTTTTTTTTTTTTTTTTTTGGTCAAACAAAAAATTTCAATGTTTTTTCCCTTCATGAAACACAAATTTGGATGTTGAGAGGTAACTACCATCTGTATAAACCACTTATATCAGCATCATAAAGAATACAAGTCAGTGAAATTTGAACTTCAAAATGAGCAGGTCATCTTTATATGCTATATCAATTTTGGAAGACCCTTAATTGAGCTAACCCACATTATAGGTTAACCATAATAATTTGGTATTGAACTCAACATTTAAGAAGACCGAACCTAAAAGCTCTCACTTATGATTTAAGAAGAATACCCTAAACCGTGGTGCTACTAGCAATTTTTTTTAAACTCAAAATGAATTGTCTTGGAATTGGGTTTTCATCATGAACGGTTCCTAAAATTGACCTAACTCTTCATTTTGATTCCTAAATTTCAAATTCAATCAATGTAAGTTACTAAAATTGGCTACCAAGCATCAATTTGATCCTTATGTTAGAATTCCATCAATAATTATGGCACACGGTTGGGGCCCGAAAGTCCATAAACCAACTGCATGTCGAAAAATAAAAAATATATATAAAATGTGATCAAAAACCATAAAATGTCTAAAAAAATATGTTAAAACTGAAATGAGTTTAAAAAAAAAAGGCTTAACAGAATGGGACCATCGTGTTAAAAATTCTATATGTATTTCTTTTACAATTTCTGATATGCTGTGATAATTTGGAAGGATTGTAGTTGATGAGTAACGCATGATTCAATATCACTTGAGCCCAAAATTAAGCTTTTCTCTATTTTTGCCTAAAGATGCAAAACTAAAACGAACAAAAAACTGAACATAAAACTTTAAAGACCACTACTAAACTAAAAAAAAAAAAAAAAAAAAAAAAAAAAAAAAAAAACATGTATATGAACTTTCATGTAGAGGATGATTACACGCATAAAACGAAGGGGAAAATATAGTATAAATTTTAGTTACATTTATACCCTTTTATTAAACTCATCAAAACTGTTTACGCGACCATAATGGAATAATTCATTGTTATTGAGATGTGCGTCACATAAGTGCCATATGGCTGAAAATTAATTAAAAAAAGATTTGTTTAATTAAAAAAAAAACTATTTTCAAAATAAGAAGAAAACAAAAACTCTTAACAATTTTTTATTTATTTTTATTTTCTGGAGACACGTGACACATAGATCATACTTGTGCTGCATAAACTGTTTTAAAAGATTTGTTAACGAAGTTAAATTACAGAATTTAAATTTTACAGTATAAGATTAAGTGAGACACAAATTGAGTTTTATAAAATATTTGGGTATGGTATATATGTGCCCTGTTGCTGAAGTTTTCCAATCAGTTATAGATGCACTGTTCTTGTCTGCAGAGTTTGATTGACTGACCCTTTTCCGAAGGTAGTACCCTTGTTATTGTCACATAAAAGGACCTGACGAGTAAGGTACTCCTTCAAATGAAGTTAAACACACTTTTTATGTAAGAGCTATTTGTTTCAACAGAGATGGAAAACAGTAAACTGCGTGTCATTTGCGGGCGCACATATATAATATATATATATATAATATTACATGGATTTTGAAATTCTTAAAAATTTTCATGACACAATAAAGTAGGGAAACATAAATTCTTTTATACATTGATATTGATTTTTGGGAGATGACGGTTGATCACAAGAAAATATTACTCTCATCACTGCAGAGACACACATATGTATATATATTATATTTATAGGCCCCTACATCACAATGTTTACCTGATTTGACTGTCGTATTTTTTATAACTGTTTGCTGTCCTTTTAACATCAGGAGCCTTAAAGTTTTTTTGTCACTGTTCATACTGGTACATCATTGTTTATAGATGGTGATGGAAATAAAACTTCATGGAAATTAAGGTTGTGTGAATTCAAAACTAGGGCATGGAGCGCGGGTCAGAATAATTAATTAAGCAGTTGTTTTCAACTCCTTTCACGTTGTACTGCCTTCATATTCATTGAAATGGGTAATTATTTAAGGCAGTTTTTTTGTCATAATTATTTAAGGTAGTTAAACTTGTTATTTTAGGGTTTGGTCAACTTCTTTTATTTCATTTGGAGTGCATGGCTGACATTTTAATTTTAATATTTTTTTTGCTAAACCACCAATACTATCATTTGAGTTATTATTGATTAATTTTTGTAAAAGTGGTTGATCATAACTCAATTAATGATAAAAATAAAAATTGACAACATATCAATTAAATAGTAACGGCGTATCAATCAAAGATAGATGAAATAACAATTAGATATGAACGATAAACTAAAAACTGATCATTTCAGCAATTGAGATTTGAAAAATGAATATTTCAACCATTTTCCCATTTTTTAATAGACAATAAATGTAATAAAAAGGTTTGGAAAAAGGAAAAAAAAAGACACAATGGTAAATAGAAAACATAATTAATCACTCTGGTAGAAAAAATAAAATAAAACTTCAATCTTTTGATCAATATACGTGTGTGTGCACGCTATGCTTTAGGAAGCTGGATATTTTAAACGCTGTTTATGAAATTACACTATTCACTAAGCTGATTAGTCAAGGTTCATTAAGTCATTATTGATTTGATTAGAACAGAATTTTAGATAAATAACTAAATTGTATTATTTTGTTGAGCTTTTCTCTGCTGCATATATGCTTGTGTGTAGGGTAATGTGCATATACAAAATGCTCCCATACATATACTGTATATGTGGGGTAATAACAGAGACAAACACAGATTAACTTCTCACAGGCATTAAAGTTGTTGTTATAGTGGTTGGTCCTGTGTTCCTTAGAAATTTAATTGCTTTATCTTCAAACTCTGGAATCCAACCACAAAAAATATCACAAAAGAAAAAAGATATAAAAATTATATAACAAATAACATATATGAAAAAGACAAGCAGATATTTAACATTGAATTGAAGAATAGGACCCTCCACACAACCTTCTCCTTCATCATCTTCCTAGCCTTATTATTATTTATTTTTATATTAAGCTTTGGTGTTGAGGGAGACGTTTCCTCGTTTTTCAGCTGTTTGTAATCTTCTGCCAAACCTTGGAATAAAATTTCATTATATTATAGCAGTGCTAATCTTGCTTAATTTTTGTTAGAATTCAGATCTAGCTCTTTCCATCCACCTCTCTCTCAAAAATTAAGAAAAAGGGTTCTTTGTTCTCATCAAAGGGTTCCAGATTTGCATCAAACGATTTAAAAAGAGTGTCAAATCGGAAGCGCTCTCTCCTGTTTCTGATCTATTCGCAGGTACCTTCAAAAAAGCAGTAAACCAACGCAGATGAAGAAATTTTATTAGGTTAATTACTTGCTTACAGTTTTCCTTTTCATTTTAAAATGAAAAAGTTTTTTTTTTTTTGGTTGAAAAATAAAAAAAGTGGGGGGAGGGGGCCTAAATGTGTGGATAATGAGGTGAATGAAATGAAATGAATAAAGATGGGTATCTTTTTCTCTCAAAGACCTTTTAACCCCATCTCTCCCTTTACTCTATTTTTTTCCTTTTCAGTGGGGGAAGTTGCAGAGATTTTGAGTCTGACAGAAGGCCCCTTTCCTTTTCTTTCCTTTCTCCTACCTCTTCTAAATTATTATATGTGCAAGGTGGAAGGAAGACTGATAAAATCTCAATAGAAATATAGACCGCTGTGTGTCTTCACTCAATTGGTGCTTCTCTCTTTCCATGTATATATAGAATTATTATTGTTTGTAGCTGCCTTAGCTTATATCATGTATTTTAGCTTTAACTGTTTAGTCATCTCTCTCTCAACACTCGGTCTCTCTCTCTCTCTCTCCCTCCCAATTTCATGGATTTTGGTGTCACTGTTAGTGAAATTCTTGTTTCATTTGCAGTGCAGAGAAAGATGATCATATCATGAAGCACGTGTACATACTACTCATCAGCAGATTTCCATCACACCAGCAGCAGGTACCTAAAATTTTATTATTAACTAAATACTATAATGAATTCCTTTGACTCTTTCTCTCTTTCAATCACTGTACCTCTCTCTCTCTCTCTCTCTCACTCTCTCTTTCCATATCTCTCTCTATCTCTCTCTTTCCCTCTATATAAAGCCAATATACTCTATCCCTTACTTTTACCTAAATTCTCTCTCGAAGCAGTAAGAAACTCAGAGCTGCTTGGACATGATCAGTAAAAAGAACCCAGAAACTAGATCTTCAAATCCAAACCTTTGTGTTTGCATCTCTTAATACTGATCAGTTTTACGCTGATTGGTTTCCGATAGTTTCTTGTTGATTTATCTTTGATCGTCTTTCTGAAGCCCGATTCAGAAGCTACAAATCATTTCTCACTCCTCCAACAATCATGTATATAATTATAAACATATATTTATATGCATGATGGTGACTTTTTGAGAGAGAGAGAGAGAGAGAGAGAGAGAGAGGGGTTCATGTGTGTGTGTTGTTGTTTGTATGGGGAGAGTTGGTAGTTGGATGTGTATATGATATGTTGATGTGAATTGTGAGAAACCCTTTTGTATTATACTAACGTAGTCTCCTTTCATCAGCTCTGAAGTAAACACCTAAGTCACTTCGTCAATAATACTAGAGGCATCGACTCTTTTATCGGTCGAGACATGGCGACCTACTTTCATCACCACCGCGGCAACTCATCGGAAATCCAAGCCTCCTCCGACAGTGCCTTACAAACACTCGTTCTCATGAATCCCTCTTATGTCCCTTACTCCGACACTCCACCACCACCACAGCAACAACAACAGCCTCAAACCCCACCCGCCGCCACCAACCTTGTTTTTCTCAACTCAGCCGCCAATTCCCTCACTCACCACCCCTCAACTCTCTCCCACGCGCCGCCCTCTCACCACCAGCAATTTGTCGGCATCCCGCTAGCGCAAGACCCCAACAGCAACAGCTCCCAATCCATGCACCACCCCCATCATGACATCTCCACACTGCATGCCTTCATGCCTAGAATTCAGACTCAGTACGCGCTTTGGAACTCAATTGACCCGACCGCGGCCGCGCGTGACACCCCACGCGCTCAGCAGGGCCTGTCTTTGAGTCTCTCCTCTCAGCAGCCGGGTTGGTCGTTCCAGGGGGGCGCCACCGAGAGGGAGGTCCCGTCAGGGGAAGACATTCGGGTTTCCAGCGGGTCAAATTCGTCGGCTTCTGGTGTGACGAATGGGGTTTCGGGTATGCAGAGCGTGCTGCTAAGCTCCAAGTACTTGAAGGCGGCGCAGGAGCTGCTCGATGAGGTTGTGAACGTTGGGAATGGGATGAGGACTGAGCTGCCAAAGAAGGGTAATGGGCAGCAGAGTAAAGCGGCGGCTGAGTCGGCCGCCGGGGACTGTTCAGTAGGCGGTGAAGGGAGTGGAAAGCGTGCGTCTGAGTTGAGCACTGCTGAGAGGCAGGAAATTCAGATGAAGAAGGGAAAGCTAATCAACATGCTTGATGAGGTATTGGCTGATATGCTTTGTTAATTTGTTGAGATAATTATTTGTTTTAATGATATTTGATTAATATTTTTCTGTTTTATTTTTTGTTAAATTTTCAATATTTGAATTTTTGAACTCAATACGTCTTTCAATATTGCGAAATGGGTTTTGATTTGTCTATGAATTAGAGGACATATATGAGTTTGAAAATTTATTATAATGTTTTTGTGTTAAATATGTAATATGTTTAGCAATAAAATTACTGAAAGCGTTTTAGTAACAAAATTTTAACAAGACCTAAGCTCTTCCTTAATATTGAAATTTTTTGTTTTCATTGAGATTGAGTGATTGAATTGTCACATGATATTTTGCAATTTCAATTTTGAATTAATTTTGTGTGTTGTACTATTTTGTTGGTTGAAGGTTGACCAAAGGTACAGGCAATACCACCGACAGATGCAAATGGTAATTTCATCATTCGAGCAAGCAGCTGGAATTGGCTCAGCAAGAACATACACTGCTCTGGCACTGCAAACAATATCAAAGCAATTCAGGTGCCTGAAGGACGCCATAACGAACCAAATTCGATCCGCAAACAAGAGCTTGGGAGAAGAAGATAGCGTTGGAGGCAAGATTGAAGGCTCAAGGCTCAAATATGTTGACCATCAGCTGAGGCAGCAAAGGGCTCTCCAACAATTGGGAATGATCCAGCACAATGCTTGGAGACCACAAAGAGGATTGCCCGAAAGATCTGTTTCCGTTCTTCGCGCTTGGCTCTTCGAACACTTCCTCCACCCGTAAGTATTCTCAGAATAATCCACACAAGTCCGATTCACCGAAAGGGTTTGTGTGTTTTTGCATTATGTAGTCTTGGCAAGATGCAGTCGTATACTAAGAATTTTTTTTTCACAATTTCCCCCTTTTTTTGCTATAAGTTTTTAACGTAATGTACTAAGAAGGATTGGATTTTGGTTTCAGATATCCGAAGGATTCAGACAAGCACATGCTTGCAAAACAGACTGGACTTACTAGGAGTCAGGTACTCAAATCCATCCACATTTTTCGTTCGTGAAAAATCTTTCTTTCTTGATAATTAGTTGTGGAAATCGGCATGCTGATGAGCTTGAGTACTGATTATGCAGGTTTCCAATTGGTTTATAAACGCTCGGGTCCGGCTGTGGAAGCCAATGGTGGAGGAAATGTACATGGAGGAAGTGAAGGAGCAAGAGCAGAATGGATCATCTGAGAAAATGAGCAAGAGCAATGGGGACTCAGCATCAAAGTCCACAGCTCCACAAGACACTGAGAACCAAACAACAAGCACTTTCAACTTCAAACAAGAGAATTCGGTGAATCACAATCTCGCTGCTCATCCATCAATTTCGATTTCCCAAGCCTCAACATCGCCCACAAACATGGTTCGGAACCAGTCCGGATTCACTCTCATTGGGTCATCAGAACTCGATGGGATTACACAAGGTAGTCCAAAGAAGCCTAGGAGCACCGAAATTATGCACTCCTCAAATGGTAGTGTCCCGCGTATGAATATTGAGGCCCAAGAGGTGAACAATGAGCAAGTTTCTATGAAATTCGGGGACGAGAGGCAGGGCAGAGATGGCTACTCTTTCATGGGAGGGCAGACTAATTTCATCGGAAATTTTGGGCAATACCCGATTGGGGAAATTGGCAGGTTTGATGCAGACCAATTCGCACCAAGGTTCTCGGGCAACGGTGTCTCTCTCACTCTAGGTCTTCCTCACTGCGAAAACCTCTCCATGTCCGGAGCTCACCGCCATCAAACTTTTCTCCCAAACCAAAACATTCAGCTGGGGAGAAGAGTAGACACTGGTGAAACAAATGATCAGTTTGGTGCCATAAACACTTCAGCTTCTCACTCTTCCGCTGCTGCATTCGAAAACATCGACATTCAGAACCGAAAGAGGTTCGTAGCCCAATTGTTACCAGACTTTGTGGCGTGATCCTGACGCAAATAATTTAAGATGGCCTTGAAGAAGCTTGACCGATTGCAGGGGGGATGCCAATGCCATTGCTTCCTTATGTGATCTTCTTCTCAGCATTTCTTTCTATGCCCTATAAATTACTTGGGGAACAAGGAAGAAATGCATATGGTAGTGTAAAGAAAGAAGAATTTACTTTTAGTATAGGTATATACTTCTCTGCATAGAAGAATTCCAGTTCTTAGACAGCTTTAGGATTTGAGATCATATGGTTGAGGATTGTATATTATTTTGTTTAAGTTTTGGAGATGGATAGACGGATTGGTGTAAAACTTTAGTTAATTGGCATGGGTATACCATTATATATTGATATTATTAACTTTGCTATGCTAATGTGTACTTCAAAATTTTATTTTATTTTTGTCGGTGGGGTGAAATTTCTTAAGTGTTAAGTTTCGAACCTATAAGTTCCGAACTTACTCTTTGCCTAAATAATAATAAATAAATAAAAAAAATAATAGTGTTAGGTATGAGCTCAACTAAAATAAAGAAAATAATGCATACTTGTTAGATCCTCTCCAATGTAACAAAGAAAGACACGCATATGTGTTGATTTGCAGTAAACTAATTAAAAAGATATTGATATCTTCGTTTCGAATCTATAGAAAAATGGATTTACAATGCCTTTAGTCTCACAGCATAAAAGTGGAGATCCCATAAGACATTGTCGGCAATATTCTAATGCTCGAGAGAGAGGAAGTGAGAACTTTGAGGCATAAGACAAAAACCAAGAACACCAAATACCATATAAAGGAGTAATGCTGGAAAATCAACAATTTAGATTAAAATTTATAAATTATATAACGTGATTATTGATGATTGGTGAATTACGTAAGTGTTGATTAACACAAACTTTATATCGTGATTATTGATGATTAGTGAATTACTTAAGTGTTGATTAACGTGCTTATTTCCTATTAATGACACATCACATGATTTACAAATTTGGTCTAAAAATTAGTCTACCTAGCATTTTTTTTGAGATAAAACACAATGAGGGAGGCCATTTTGTTTTGTTTATGTTGTTTTAGGATTCTCCTATCCAAGGAGACCAATGTCAATAAGATTGACCCACGTTTGCTTTGAGTTTGAACAAAGAGCTTTTAGTGTCTTTAGTGAGGAACATAAAGTTGTATTAATAAAGGCCAAGTGTATTTTAAGTCTGGAGTTAAGTAGTATCAAAATGGATTATGAGGTTCCATTTTAATCAGTTTGTATCTATATGCTCATGTGTCAATCATTTGATATTTGACCAACAAAAAGTTTAAATTAGTTTTTTTATTATTTTTGTTCAAACGATAGATCTTATTAGATTAGATATTAGATTAGCTACCGACGATGTTTGAACCCACGCCGTCATGCAAGAGCTCAACACAATTCCACCACTATGGTAAATGACCACTTGCTTAAATTAGTTAAGTCTCAAATTGTTGGGTTATTATTATTATTATTTTTTTCTCTTTCTTCTGTTGGGGTTCAATATGAAAAAAATTGGAACCTCTTGAATTTATTTTGGTGTATGAAATTCCAGGTTCTAGCAAACACTATAAAAAATGGTATTGTAACCCAAAAACGATTTTAGTTATTTTTAAAGCACATCAAAACCGACTTGTAAATCTCAAACTTTACTCCACCTCATATATTTTTCAGACAAGTCAACAGAACAAAAAAAACTGCCCACCAGAGCATAAAAATTTCCAATAAATATACTTTTGCATGTAAAATTGAGACAATTCTCACTGACATCTATATTCAGATAGGGTATTCATACTTACAAAATTAGACCTTGATTTGCTTTAACACTTGTTTCATGAACTACAATTTCAGAGTAAAGAATGGTTGCTAGCCAAATTAACTAAACAAATAGAAATACAAAATGAATATTGGAAGGCATTAAATTAAATTTGAGGATTCAATTTAGACCCTCTCCTCTAACCAACTAATTGTTCCCTGGAGGGTTTGATTTCGCATCAGAATTCAAAAGGGCAAAGCTCCCTGTTATCTCTGTTTGCCCCTCTCTCTCTCTCTCTCTCTCTCTCTCTCTGAGTGGTCAAGTGGGTCTTTCGGGTTTGAGGCCCATCGATATATGAGGTAAATGAGGCCTAACATGTTGGATCAAATATTTTTGAGCCCAAATTTTACTTCTTTCTTTTGATCTGTATATAAAATTAGAAGTTTGGGTTTTTATGTAATAATTATTTTGTTTTCAGTTTTTTATTTTACATTTTATTTTCTTGAAAACTGAAAACACATTTATGAACTACTTTTAATTTTTATTTAATAAAATAAATGAAAACTGGAAATAAAAAAATTGAAAATTAAAATCTGAAAGTCAAAATGTGAAAAATACTTTATTGAGTTTTTAAATTTGATTTTCAATTTTCACTTAGCAAGGCCCTCTGAACTAACCTTATTCAAAATTTCCTCCTCGTCTCAGTTTGGTTCTAGCCCTTATAGCATTTTCTTTTAGTTAGTTTTCTTCACTTCGATAAATGAAAGCAAATCTCAATTTGACATAAAATTTGAAAAATATGAAGCAAACTAAAATGTTATGAAAGATTATAGAGGTCATAATCAAACTGAAATTATTCCATTGGATATCCACTTTATGTGATTAATCTCATATAATGTAAATACATCATTGTATAAAAAGAAGTTGCAAGTGAGGGATTGTCCTATTAGAAAAGGTATTTCTGCTCAACTTACTATTTCCTGAATTCTTAGTTTGGTTTACATTAGTAATATTATTTGTAATAAAATATTAAAAATATAATTTATTAACCCTAACTACAAAGTATGATTAATCTCATATAATGTAAATACATCATTGTATAAAAAAAAGTTGCAAGTGAGGGATTGTCCTATTAGAAAATGTATTTCTGCTCAACTTACTATTTCCTGAATTCAAACTCTCTTCCATCCTCTTAGTCTGGTTTACATTAGTAATATTATTTGTAATAAAATATTAAAAATATAATTTATTAACCCTAACTACAAAGTATGGTTGACAATGGAATCCCCAAACTAACTAACTCAAAGAACTTGAGAAACTTAAATATAAACATATTTAATTATAGGATTTTCTCGCAAATGAATCTTTATATGATGGAAAGTCTAATCGATGGGGGTGGAGGGAGGTGAGAGAGTGAAATCCTCCCGGTAGGGAGTTGAGGGAGAATATTTTCTATTGGGGTGTGTATCCACACACCCCTTTTTACTTCTCATACATCCCTTGTTAATTTATGTCCGTTGATTTTATTCAATTCATCCGATCCGACGGCCGAAAACCAAAAGGGTGTGGGAGAAGTAAAAAAGGGTGTGTGGATATCACACCCCTTTCTATTTTTTTGTCAATAAGATGAACGGCCTTTAGTTTAATGCTTTTGGGTTAAACCATTACACATCCTTTTTTGGCATTTATGCATTGTTTAATCCATGTCAGCATATTTGACAATTTTTAGACAGAATTAACAAAAAAAGGCAATGTAGAGCGAATTTTAAGTTTTAGGGAGTAAGGTGGTGACTTTTGATTTTTTCAGGGAGCAAAGTGAGATCAAAATTGAGTTTAGGTGCGTAACTAAAACTACACCTCATAATACTAACAGAAGTTCTAATGAAAGTGGCAATATAGGGCGAATTTTGAGTTTCAGGAGTAAGTGGTGACTTTTGATTTTCAGGGAGCAAAGTGAGATGAAAAAAAATGAGTTTAGGAAGCGTAGCTAGAAATATGCCTCATAATACTAACAAGGGGTGTGCTATTCACACACCATTTTTTACTTCTCACACACCCTTTGTTAATTTTTGCCCTTTGATCTTCTTTAATTCAGTCGATCCGACGGCTGCAAATTAAGAGAGTGTGTATGAAGTAAAAAGGGGTGTGTGGATATACATGTAGGCAATATTATTTACATGGATGCAAATTTCATCCAAGTTTGAATTGACGAAACTCCACCTACAAAACAAGAAAAATTGTTAGCTAATTCGACGAACACCTGAGAAAAAGATAGAGGATGTTCGCCAAAGGGCCTCTGATGCCTAAGTTAAAGAACAATTTAAGATAAACTAGAATAACGAGAATGCTGCGTAGTAAGTGAGGATTATTGATTTCCTTGTTGGACTTGACTATTTGTTAAAGAGACTCCCATGCAGTTGGGAGGGAAAACCGCTATGTTCTGTTAGTGTGATGCAGACCAGTCTCTGCAGACAACTATAGGAAGTCTTGGGGAGGCCTCCGATAGATAGTGGCACCATGGCGCTGGACTCAAGGGGAGACTCCAAGAGTCGACCTAACATGCCCGACCCTAATATTCCCAAACACCAGGGTAGGCATGTGCTGGCCAACACCCGAAGGTGACGAAGCCATACTAGAATGTATGAGAACTAAAAACAATTAAGTGACATAAATAAAACTTGTAAATTTAATTATAATGAATATGCAATTGTGGAACGTGTTCAGAACATGCAACTAAACCGAGACACTAAAAAGGAATAAGATAAAATTGAACGAGTAAAGGAATGGGTCCTACACCAAGAGGATTCGAAGATGCCAATGCGGAAGTGCCTTGACGCGGGAATTGTATGCCTTGATTCTAAGTCTTGAGGGGGCGTAAAACAAGACATGAGTGGACCAAGTTGATATATAAGTAATACTAACATAGTTATTCAACAATGTACTAACCCCCAAAGTTTATGAAAACTCAATAGTATAATATGTAATAGGTTTTCCGAAAACCCTAACATGCCATAAAACCTTCAATAAGATATATATCATATATAGTGTGCTAAATAATGGTATCATCTCCTGCCTGAAGGTATATAAAATCTTATATAAGTAAAACAAGACATGAGTGGACCAAGTTGATATATAAGTAATACTAACATAGTTATTCAACAACGTACTAACCCCCAAAGTTTATGAAAACTCAATAGTATAATATGTAATAGGTTTTCCGAAAACTTTAACATGCCATAAAACCTTCAATAAGACATATATCATATATAGTGTGCTAAATAATGGTATCATCTCCCGCCTGAAGAAATATAGAACTTTTCCAACCGAAACCATATAAATATCTTCCGCCCATAGGCATTACAACCCTGGCCAAAGCCAATATAAGTATCTTCCGCCCGTAGGCACTACAACCCCAGGCCAAAGCCATCTAAAAACGTCCGGTTGAAGCCAAATATAAATATCTTCGCCCGTTGGCAGTATCATTATATATATATTTATCTCAAAACAGAGCTCAATGACTAAAACGTCATATCGTAAGACCACGTTCATAAGTAGGTATATAATCATCAATCATATATACCACAAAGTACGTAAA